ATGCCGATTGGGCAGGTGATCATTTAGATAGAAAGTCTACAACTGGTTTTGTAATAAGATTGTTTGGTAATGTAATTTATTGGAAATCTAGAAAACAAAAAAGCGTTACAAAAGCTTCAACTTTTGCAGAGTATGTAGCATTGTCAGAAGCAGTAAGTGAATTGATATTTGTAAAAGAATTGTTGAAAATATTTGATATTGAAATAATAAAGCCAATTGATGTTTATGAAGATAACACTGGTACAATTAGTATAGCTAATTATGGCAATTTTACAAAAAATTCTAAGCATGTTGAAATTCATTATCATTATGTAAATGATTATGTTAAAGCAAATGTTATAAATGTGGTTAAAGTAGATTCTGATGATAATATTGCAGATATTTTTACGAAGTCCTTGGGCCAAGATAAATTTGAAAAATTTCGAAGTATGTTAAATTTGAATTAATGTAAATACAATGTAAATGTAAGGAGGCGTGTTGAGAATGTAATACATTTATATTGTATACACAGATATATTGGTGTAAGAGTAAGCGGAACGCACCCATAGTGTCATGGGTTGACATGACAGACAATAATAGTAATGTCAATGAGTATCATGTAGTTGTAGGTAGTAGTAAGAAGTATGGTGGCTTAAGTTAGGTTAGTTAATTAGTATGTATGTTATAGGAAATAAAGCCTTTTATAATAGTAGTAAAGTACGACTATTTATTTTCCAAATCCACACCTTAACACGTACATAAATAGTAACAAAGTAAAAAATTAAAAAGATTATAGAGAACTCCAGTGCAGTTTACCGTAACAAAAGATTTTCCGCGAATTGCATTAAGCATTAAGAGGTGTAAATTGGTTGAATGTACTGTAATAGCCTCCTTCTGTATAAGTATGAACTGTTGGAATGTATCTGAATGCAATGTTGCACTCAAAACCCTATAAACTTCACATCTTTTTGGTGGATTCAAATATTTATATAAAAGAAATTTCTAGAATATAAATTTCTGCAATACTCATGATATACCTATTTGAGATCACAAAAAACTGACTGATTTATAGAGTTTTACTTGCACAAAGATTTTGTACACAACCCTAGATATTTCTAGTTTGACAATTATATAAATGATGGTGATTAGACAAATCTATTACTCAAAGAGTATTCCACTGTTGACTTCGGTCACTTAATCAACGTTTTCTTCATTTAAGTAAACCTAATTTGGTAATAGGATGTTACTGTAGATATAGTAAAAACCCCAGATGGTAGAATACAAATCATAAAAAAGAGAAGTCTAGATATAAAAAGAGTATAGATTATATTATAGTTAACTTAAAAGAACTTGAATTGAAGAAGTTAATCGAAATAGTACACTATGACACTGTCATTTAGCTTTCCTCTCATTTAAAAATGCTAACCGACAAATTAGGTCGATTATTCGAAAATTTATTGTATGTAGAGGCTCCTAACGAAGATTATGTTCTGAAGATGACTCTATAAAGTGAGTCGAAAACTATACATACACAAAATGACGTATTTATATGAGAACCGCGGGATTTTCGAAGTCTTATTTTACTGATCAACAGTTTTTACTGTTAAAGGCAAAAAAATGTAATTTTTTTTGTAGATATTACTCCGCAAAATTAAATATATGAGCTGGACGTGATATTATTAGGGCAGGCGATTAAATGTACCGAGATGTAGATCGAGTTTGTGTTGCTTTGTTATCTCGTTGAAACAAAGTATTTAAAAACTTTGCATTATTATATAAACACCTTTAAACATTCTTAAAAGTAACGGTTACCCTGAAATTCCTTTAATATTTTATACAAAGTACTTATCTGTTACGACATCAATAGCAGCAAATGCTCGTGGGTGACAACAACCCTAAATCTTTCTCTCCAAATAATATTTAACATCAGATCTCAAGCAGTTGTCGTATACTAAAGGCGATAACCAACTTAAGGATTATGGTTATGGACCTGCTGCTGCTGCTGTTGCTGCTGCTGTTGATTCTGCTGGTACGCCTTTAAACTTAGTTCGGTTTTGTGTTCTCTCGCTATATGCCTTCTCACAGTGTTGTTACGCGTGAATGTCCGCGAGCAGAATGGACACGGTACCCGTATGCCTTGATGTCTTTGTCGGATGTGTGCCCTCAAGTTTGTTTCGTAGCCATACAATCTCTCGCAAAAAGGACACTTCAGTTTTTTTCCTATAAAAGATTTAAGAGTATTTTTAAAGTTGTTAATAAAGATATTAAAAAAGACTCACCGTCCGCTGTGTTCACAGTCCCAGCCTTGCAATTCATCTTTCCAGCGACTGTACTCCAAATGTTCGCCTGTATAAGATCTGTATCCCTGTCATGATTGTAGTTCGTTTGAGACCCGATAATAGAACCATTGGCAGATGTTGTGTTATTGAGCAAGTTGCCGGTATTACCATTCCCGTTTCCTGCTGTACTACTGGGCGACTCGTCTTGTTGCATTGCAGGTTCCATCTTCTTTCTTAAATCTACAAGGTAGAAAATAAATATATCAGAAAGTAGGCAACACTGCATACTGGAAAATGTTATCTACATTTGCACTACAGTAGTGATTGACATACCTGTCTATACCGCGGTTTTAAAGAACGTAAGTTTTACTCGCGGCACGTTGGTTCTGATTGACATGCGATCATTAAATGAGAATTAAAGCGACACGTCTTGCTTGGACTCTGAATTTGTCTGTATAGCACACTGCGAAATAATGAAAAACAAGTGAAAACGTCTTAGAGTTTGGGTCAAAAATTGGATGGAAAAAATGCACGAATTGTCACCCACAAATTTAATTCAAACATTGTTAATTCTTCTTCTTCTGGTTCCTATACGTTTCGGATGTCGGAAATCATATTGTCAATCATAACCTTGCTCGCTGCGGCTCGAAACAGCTCCGTTGAGGTTTTCTTAAACCATGTTCTTAAATTCCGCAGCCATGATATTCTCCTTCTACCGGGTCCTCGCTTACCTTTGACTTTACCTTGCAATATAGACTGTAGCAGGGAGTAACGGTGCTGATTTCTCATAACGTGTCCCAGATATTGCAATTTTATGCGTTTGATCGTAAACACAATCTCTAGTTCCTTCTTCATTTTTCCTAGAACTTCCTTATTCGTGATCCTTGCTGTCCATGATATTCTCAGCATTCATCTATAAAGCCACATCACAAATGCTTCAAGTTTTTTAATAGTGGTGTCTGTAAGCGTCCATGCATCCGCCCCGTACAACAACACAGAGAAAACATAGCATCTCAAATGTCTTGCTATGACAAAAAAAGACCGTTCTTGCCTTTCCTATGCGGCACTTTATTTCCTGTAAATTGCTCCACTGTTCGTTAATAATAGTTCCCAGGTAACAATACTGTTTTACTCGCTCTATCTGCGTCCCATTAATGTATAGATGAGCCCTATGTATATTCTCCTTGCTGATAATCATTTGTTTCGTTTTGTGGGTATTAATGTTTAGTCGGTACTGTTGACTGTACTCGTTTATTCTGTCCATTAGCCTTTGAAGTCCCTCTAAACTATCTGCTATCACCATGGTGTCGTCGGCATATCTAATATTGTTTACTCTTTCACCATTTAGAAGGATGCCTTCGTTATTCCGTAAAGAGCCTCGTTAAAAATTTTCTCTGAGTACATATTAAATATCAATGGCGATAGGATACATCCCTGTCTAACTCCACGTAGTATTTTTATATAATCTGTTTCTTCTCCGTTAATTTTCATGTATGCGGTCTGATTTCAGTAGAGTTCTGAAATTATTCTGAGGTCTTTGTCATCCAGGTCTGCTTCTTTTAACATGTTTATCATCTTTTGATGTTGAACTCTGTCAAATGCCTTTTCATAGTCGATCAAGCACGCGTATACGTCGCAGTTAACGTCCCTGCATCTTTGAATCAGTACCTGTACTCCGAAAAGTGCCTCTCTGGTACCCACTGCGTTAATGAAGCCGAACTGTCCGTCCGATATTTGTTCCTCGCACTTCTTATAAATTCTTCCATGGATGACTCTAAGAAACAGTTTCAACATGTGGCTCATTAGGATGATTGTTCGATATTCTTCGCACTTTTTAGCCCCCTGTTTTTCAGGTATCACTATGAATTCTGATTCTAGCCATTTATCAGGGATGATACCTGTAGTGTATATTTTATTAAAGGCAGCCGTGATCCAAATTATTCCTTCTTCCTCCAAGATTTTAAAAATTCAGCTTCGATATTATCAGGCCCTACAGCTTTCCTGCTTTTCATCCGTTTTATTGCTTCTTCTACCTCGGATTTAAGTATGTCCGGGCCCGTCATCCTCTCTGAAAATGGATGCCTATAATCCGTTCTTTGATCTTGAAAAAGTGTCTCCAAATATATTCTCCATCTGTCTTTCATCTCTTGGGTGTCAATGATTAATTTTCCATTGGTGTCTATGAGTTTCATTTGTGTTCGCTTTTAAAAGTACCCGTTATTTCTTTTACCTTTTTGTGTACATTAAAGTTGTCATGCTTGGCTTGTAGTCTTTCTATTTCTTTACATTTCTCTACAGCTTCTTTTTCTTTAGCTTCTCTCATTTTTCGTCTGATGTAAGCCTTCATTTTTTATACTCATCTTTAATTAACCTTCTTCGTTCCATTAAATAAAGGATTTCTGGAGTCATCCAAGATTTCTTCTTTGTTTCTTTGTTACACATTGTTAAAAGAACCACTTAATTACAAAAATTATCTGGGAATATCTGAAGAATCATACAATGAATTGTTATCTTAAGTGACACCTATATATAATACAGAAGACTATAACGTAAGAAGTGACAAAATCGAAAAATCTGACAAAAACTACCAACTCGGCTAACTGGCCGTGATCAACACGTGGCTTTATATGACGGGCCAAGTGAAACATATGACAAACATGACAAATCACGAACCAGAATGGTCTGTATATAAAACCAAGGTATTGCAAACTGGCGGGCTTTACCGGCGAACCAACCGCGGTTTTACCCGCCTTTTAATTCGAAAATTATTTTAAGGACAGATAGGATAGATGATCTGGATAACTGGTAGAAGATATTCAAAATAATTAATTAAAAAGTAATTTTCACAACTAGGGAAATTTAGGAAACTACAAATTAATATTAATAAGAAAAGTGGATACTTACCCTCAGGACAACCCGGATCCTGAAACCTATCTAAAGTATTGCTTTCTGGACATATTAAAGCGGTTGCAGGGTCCGGGTCGAATCTGCTCTCCGGAGGACTATCCCCTCCCGGTTGGCTGGGTAAATTCGATAAAGAAGAAGACGGCCTGTAGGCGCACATCTGACCCGGTGATCCCGGTCTTCCTACAGCTTTACTTCCATCTCGAAGCACTGAAACTCTGTTGTCTTGCATTAGATCGCTTGGACTACGCAGAGGCCTCTTCATGGCATTGTCTCCGTACGGAGCTCCTGGAGTCGCCATCCGCGGTTCGTACGGGCGATAGTGATGTGGGTGCATGTACGGAGACATCGTTGGCGAATAACTTGGGGACGGGCTGGACTGGTGGTGTGAGGTGTTGGATACTGGTGTGTCGATTTCTTCTTTTGGTACCTTAAACATAAATTACTTTTAAGTCTTTTGATATAGATGTAAGACACTGCTAGGCCTAGTCACCAAGCTAAATGATATGACTGTTATGGTATGTCAATTTGGTTAACGTTTCAGTAGTCGCAGCTTGTCTAGAGACACTAGTACCAAGGCAGTGACGGAACGGTCCTGTCAACATCTCTAAGAATCTAGGACAAATGTTACTACCAATAATTGGTACATCAGCGTTGATCTTGGTATAAGCTTGAAGGAAAATGGTTTAACTCTCTTGAGAACAATAAGAGTAAATAGAAGAGAAATTCCTGCATGTTTCTCTAACAATCAAGGACGACCTATTGGGGTACATTTGGGTTTGGTTGAAGAGAAATATTATTGTCATACATATAAACAAAAAAAAAGCGTTCTAATGAAATCGTAGGCTTCCACGGCCAGAGTCAGAATTATAGTTTATTCGTCTTCCGGGTTTGGACCGTGTCATTTGTGAGTGACCCAAAAGTGGGTTCATCTCGACGTTTCGCTACAATTGTATGCAGCTTCTTCAGGAGAACAAAGAAAAAGAAATCAAAAGACAGGAAGATGGGTAGTGAGGAAGATGGGTCGAGAGGCGGGGAGTGAATCCCCCCGCGCCTCTCGACGCGTTAGTGTTCTGAGCTGTTGGACGTGAATCCCTGTCCTGGCATTTGGTTTTCACCTCTGGCTGCGTTGAGTAGTTGAGTTACTGTGACCAAATGCCCATCTTGGTAGTTAGTATTCGCCTCTGGTTGCGTTGAGTAACTGAGTTACCGTTGCTAACTACCCATCTTCCTGTCTTTTGTTTTCTTTTTCTTTGTTCTTCATCTTCCTGTCTTTTGTTTTCTTTTTATTTGTTCTCCTGAAGAAGCTACATACAATTGTAGCGAAACGTCGAGATGAACCCACTTTTGGGTCACTCACAAATGACACAGTCCAAACCCGGAAGACGAATAAACTATAAAAAAGCGTTGTGTTATATTCCACTATGTGATGACGTTGATCCTGTAACTGGAAAACCGGATATCATATTAGCATATAACTGCACAAAAAGCGGTGTTAATACTGTAGATAAATTAGGACACACAATATGATGTGGCGTTGTATTAGAAGATGGCCTAGGGTTGTTTTATACAGCCTTTTAAATGTTACAGCAATAAATTCCTTTGATATTTACAATTGTAACATTCCAAATTCCACAAAGACCCGACGAGAAGTTTTGGCAAATTTAGCATTTAGTCTTATGTACAACCACCAGAAGAATGGAAGCCAAAATATCTATATATCTAACCCAATAAGGATTCGACTAATTTAGATCTGTCATTTGGATGAAGATGTCGTGTCAGTTCAAAGAACTTCTGGAGCAATTGGGAGATGTGGTGACTGTGGATGGAAAAAGAATCGAAAAACGAAATATTATTGTTCATTCTGTAAAAAGTATCTTTGTTTGGAACATGTAAATCCAATTTGCAATGACTGTAACAATATTCCGGTTTAATTTTATGATTTTTGTCATCTCATATATTTTTTTATGATAGTCGTATTGAAATGATGTTTTATTTTTGTTTAAGATAGGTCTTGAAGACTGATATGTTGTTTTAATTTTAAATTAATTGTAATTTGTTTGGCAAAAAAGAAAGTAAATCAAACTATTACAAAAATTGTGGACTATTTTTTGTATTACGTAGATAAATGTTTTAAATAAACAAAATATGCCAATAATATTAAATAATGTTAAAAAACTACAAACAACAGATTATATTATTGAAATTTAAACAAAATGCATCCAAAGAACTATTTTTATCACCGGTGTAGTAGACTACTGATACAAAAAATTAAACTGCGTCTACTGAAAAGTTAAGAATTAGAAAAACATAAAAAATGTCGCCAACAGTGTGGTCTTATTTGTCGAAGAAAAGAATTAGTGTAATTCGCACTTGAATGAACAACATTTTTGGCGTATCATCTTTGGGTTATAAAATAATAATCTTTATTGTGCATATCCAAAATATAAAACATTTAAATATAAAGGTGAGAAGTTCAGCTAAGCAAATTTAAAGATTCATCACATTATAAATAAATATTTTCAAAGTTGAGATTCAAAATATTTTACTATACTCGAAATTTTACACAAAATTGATTTATTTTTGCAATTTGCCACATTCAAATATTTTAAAATTACCAATTTATACGATTATTACCCTACAAATTATGATTTGCCTAGCACTATTCAAGCAATTTGCGTTGGATATAACACAGAGCTGTTTTAAAATAAAGCAAAAACGTTAGATAATGATATACACATCCACTAGTAAGATGAGTTGCCTACTTCTGGCGCTATGACGTAGTTAAAAGGAGGCCACCTTTTTATTTTATTTGAACAAAAACATCAATTTTTTACGTTACATAGTTGTAAATCTCTTGAATAGTTATCAACAACATATAAAAAGATCCGTTCGTTCGCAAACTGTAACTTTTTTAGTAAATCTTTGTCGATAAAAAAAAATTGAATTCTGTAATCTACTGAAAGTTAGGCAAGACTATATACCTAATTATATAAATAGTGTTGCTTCCTCGATACCTATAGCTATTTAGTAAATTCAATTTATTATACTCACTTTAATATGTTTTCCTGGCGAATCTGTTCCCGAGTCCATAGGCGTTATATTATGACTCTGAGCAACAGCAAGTTTCTCGTGTTCGATACTCAACCCCTTTACCTGCAAACATTCCGCAGCTTTTAAAAAACTAGACAGGGAATCCTGCGAAACGTGAACTTCCCCCTTGTACATGAATTCTAAGAGGGCCGACATGTTTGTGGCTGACGTGTTATCCAAAATCACCAGGAGGTTCTGGTGCAGGGGGGCGGTTTCGAACAAATCCGCGAGATGTTTGCTACACGCCGCAAGTATGAGTTTGTGAGCCTTGAATGTTACTCCTAAAACAAATAATATGGATTAAACTACAAGTTGGTGGTATAGTTAATTATATACTATAGGTCTATAGACGTAAGCATAGACGTACTAAATTATTGTTGGAAACGTACACGCGGTTTAAAAAATAAACATTCCTTAGACCCTCTTGACAATATAGTTAAGAAAGTCCCCAATATTTTTTAAACCACACACTTCATCAAAGGAAAAAAAATTAACCACCCGAAGAAATCAAGAAGAGCTAAAGTAAAAGGTCATGAATTTTATTTTAAACAATATATGTCTTTACTAATGAAATATAATTTGGAGATTATTCAATGGCTATTTGTTTGGAGTCCATTTATCTGCCTGTATTATAGTGTATTTTTATGTATGAGAGAGTAATAAAACAATAAATTATGTATGCAAATCCCTAAACTGTTGATACGGGTGACTCAATGAAAAACAGATATTTGTCAACAAGTTTACAGAAGTATATAGGAAAACAATTTTAAATTGAGTATGACCACCAGGTATAAAGGTTGGAGCAGAATAGAATACAATAGTTGTGAGGGTTACTAATCCCTAAATAAGGTTGCCAGTGTCGGAGTGATGGAGGTTAACAGGTACTAATGAATTTGCAAGAAATGTAAGATGTTTATTTTATTGGTTATATATAACCAATAAAAGTTTAATAAGTACCTACCTATTTGCAAAATAAAGTTTAATTCTTTAGATAAAATAAAACGTTTTATTTTATCTGAAATGAGTGCATTCCACGAAGTAAGGGTTTCAACAATCAAACATTTAATTCTTTAATTCCAGGAATCTACGACAGTAATTGACTAGATAATTACTTTCTAAACTTATTCCACAGCAAATGTGATAGTGGGTTTTTCCATTTTGTAGGAAGGTCCAAGTGGCGTAGTCAAAATTCTTAACAGTTTACTAAAAGTAGGTACTTCAGTTGCAAGGTGCAGTTTATTGTGTATACTAGTGTTATGGAAAATTTGGAAGTGCCATGTAAACGCCGAAAAATTGGTCCTTTAACAGTTAATGAAAAAACAATAATATTTAATTGTTTTAAATCATTTACAGACAAACGTTTATGTGAAAGTGTTGATGAGACAGAAAGAGAATCCCAGAAAGTCTATTTTATTAGAAAGAAGCGATATTGTCATATGGAGAAGACATTTTCTAAGAACCATAAAGGAAATGAGAAACCAAAAAAGAAAAATATTTTATCTTGATGAAACATGGATCAACGAGGGTCATACACCAAATAAATTTTGGCAAGATGAAACTGTTACAAGTCAAAGGCACGCTTTTGTAAATAACTTATCTACTGGTTTAAACCCACCATCAGGAAAGGGACGCAGGCTGATAATAGTACACATTGGCAGTTCAGACGGTTTTGTTGAAGGTGGTTTATTAACTTTTGAATCAACTCGTACCGGTGACTACCATGAAGACATGAACGCTGATGTCTTTCAAGAATGGTTCGAACAAATGATAGATCTTCTTCCTAAGAACTGTGTAATAGAAGACTCCAGACTTATAGAAGGACTGCCCACAACCAAGTGGTTAAAAAAAGACTTGCAGAATTGGCTGAGTTCAAAAAATATTACGTACCATCCCGAATCTATAAGAAAGGAACTTTATTCGTTGTGTGCCCTTCATAAAGAAAAATTTAAAAAATACGAAATTGATGAAATTGCCAAAAATCGTGGAATGACAGTACTTAGATCCCCACCATATCATTGTGAATTAAACCCGATTGAACTGGTATGGGCACAGATAAAGAGTGAAGTTTCAAGAAAAAATACCATTTTTAAAATTCATGTTGTTAAACAGTTGTTTTTGGAGGCCGTAAATAATGTAAAACCTGAAAACTGGGAAAAGGCAGTAAATCACACTATTAAAGAAGAGGAAAAAATGTGGAAGCTGGACAATATTACTGATAAAATGATCGAGCCAGTTATTATAAATTTTGTTCTGAAAGTTCATCTTCTGAATCTGATTTGGATTTGTAACAAGTAGCTGTAAGTTTTATATTAATATTTTTATTCATCTATTTAACATACCTTAAACGGTTTTAAAAACTCTTTTTCTCTTTTGTAATTTTTAAAAATTAAAAAAAAAATGTGAATTTTTTAAAACCCTTTTTAATGTAGGCCAGTCAGTTCTAACATAGTGTGTGATAAAAGAGATCACTTTTGGTTACATACACATAACACTTTATAAAACTGAAATAATTCATTTATTTTTTACAATTATTCAAAGTAATTTTTCAATTAATCTTGAGCACGCCCATGGAGTGGTCGGAGGTAAAAGTTAAAATTATGCTAATTACTCTCTCGTTCATAAAAATAAACTATAGGTGTGGAGTGAATTGAGTAGCTTTACACCTGATGCAGCCGGTCCCAAGCCCGGATAATAAAAAAGGGGAGAGGAGTAACACCTCTATAAAAAACCAGGGTTCAGCTGATCCGACTGATAGCACCCTGTAAGTGCCCCTTGTCTAGGTTTGCAGATAAACCGAATGATTGCCGGTATAAGCAATCTCCCACTTACTGGCCAACGGCTTCGGACGGATGAGTTGGTGAGTGGTAGGGCACTCTGTTGTTGTGAGCCGAGAAATCGGTCTCAAAGGCAGAGGAATCCAAGAAATGGTCTACGGCATCAGGATATAGAAGGCCAGGAGAAACCACTATGGACTTCGGAATCCAAGATCCGGCAGGAGAGAAAGATTACAACCAGACCACGGGACCTCTCAGGTCGTCAACCCACGAAAACCCCGCGTCGTGGAAGTCCACAAGATAGCTACGTGGAACGTCACAACTATGTTTGAAGGCGCGATGTTACACAATATAACTAGGTTATTGCGAGACGAAATGGCTAGGGTCAAACATATTCGAGAGCAATGGATACATTGTCTACCATTCGAGAAGAAATTCGTAAGTGTATTAGAAATTTCGTTTCTTTCAATGATCGCATCATGGTGATACAGCTGCAAAATAAATTATTGAATATTAATATAATACACGTCTATGCACTAACAGCTGACAAACCAGATGAAGAAATTGAGCAATTCTGCAACCAAATTAAACAAATTCTCCGGAGCACAAAAAAACATGAAGCTACGATTATTATGGAAGACTTCAACGCAAAAGTTAGTGCCGAAATAACACAAGATATAACCGGAAAGTATGTACTTGGGGAAAGTAACGAAATAGGGCATAGACTAATATAATTCTGCCAAGAAAAGAATTGCATTATAGCAAACACTATAGCAACCTAAAAGACGACTATATACCTGGAAATCTTCAGCTGATCAAGAAGGAAAGGTGGTCAGAAATCAAATCGACTACATTATCATTAACAGAAAGTTTAGAAACGGTATTACATCTACAAAAACATTCCCAAGTGCCGCAGCAACTAATCATAATCTGCTCTGTGCTGGATTCAAACTAAAATTAAAAATAATAAAAACCCCGACAGCTCAGAAAAAAACATAATAATAGACTCCTAAGAAATGTTGTAATAGCAGATGAGTTCGGAAATAAGATAAATCATGAAATTAAAAAAGCAGCTAGTAAGATCTGAACAAGAAAATACCCGACAAAATATAAATATAATGAATTCCGCCATGGTTACCATAGCAAACGAAGTTTTGAAAGAAAAAGAGCCAGTAAAGAAAAAGCATTGGATGACCGATAACATACTAGACGTTATTCAGCAAGCAGGATAACACACCTGGATTATGAAGGTTAACATAATGAACAAATTATAAGCCTTCGAGATGTAGTTATATCGTAGAATGCTCAGAATATCATGGATTCAACACATTTCAAACAGAGAAGTCTTGAACAGAGTAGGTCAAGGTGAAGGTGACTTAATAAAGATGATAAAAAACTCAAATATCTGGGTCATATAATGAGAGGAAGCAGATACAGCATAATGTAGTTTATACTCAACGGAAAGATCGACGGAAAAAGAGGAATTGGTGGGAAGAAATACTCATGGCTATAAAACCTTCGTCTATGGACTGGCTTGTCAGCAGATGAATTATTAAATGCCGCGCAAGATCGAGAACGATATCGACAATTCATCATGAAAGCTACCCACGCCTAAAACTTGGGCAGGATACTCAAAGAAGAAGATTTGTTTGGAGATTATTAACCCTTTAATGCATACTGTTACAGAAGTACAACATAGCGAATTACACCTCCTATCATGATACTGTAATAACAAGATAGGATCTTCATGTAGCACAAAATAGGTCGTGTTCGCGCATGCCGTCATTGGAGAGTAGAATTTGAATTCTTCTTAAAGTTGAATGGGATTTGTATGCATTCTGGGATGAAATTACTAGACGAAAATAAGTAAGAGGTTTAGTAATTACAATAATCGTACACATAAGAATATCTCCAAACTATTAATTAAAGATTATTTATTGATACATACAAAAAACTGACATTTCAAACGTCAAACTCTCCAATGACGTCACGACTTATGCGCAATATCTTATCTTCTTAGTCTTAGTATCATTAGATTAGATTAGATTAAGAGAGGTGGCCTTTCGGCCTATTCCACTGCGACCTTTTCAGATCTATTGTGGCCCTCTAGTCCTAGACAACATTCTCTAGCCTGACCCTCTTTATAAAGTCTAGTAGCTTCGAGACTGTACCTTCCATGTAGCTGTTTGCCGGTGGATTTTCTTCTCCTAATGCAAAAAACCGCACATTTGCCATACTGTCACACTGACATAAAATGTGCTCTGCCGTTTCTTCTTCGAGGTGACAGAATCTGCACAGGTCATCATCTGATAATCCCATTAGCTTCAAGTGCCTATTCAGCTTACAGTGTAGTCTTAGTATCATGCCTCCTATTACATGTTT